TCTCCGACTCAGATATTCGTGATGCAGAACCTCGACGACTTTACGACATACAACTCCACCTCGTCTCACCTCTGGAACGTGACAACGCTGTGGTACGAGAATGACACCTATCACAACGGCACCAACTACACGGATCTGGCGCCGCGAAATCAATTCGTGCTACCGTGGTGGCGGCAGATGATCTGGACGCTTCTGTTCGCCGGCATGATCACCGTGGCGACCGGGGGTAACCTGATAGTGATATGGATCGTGTTGGCGCACCGGCGGATGCGCACCGTCACCAATTACTTCCTGGTGAACCTCAGCATCGCGGACGCCATGGTGTCGACCTTGAACGTCACCTTCAACTATACCTACATGCTCAACAGCCACTGGCCGTTCGGGACGCTCTACTGCAAGATCTCCCAGTTTATCGCGGTGCTCACGATATGCGCCAGCGTCTTCACCTTGATGGCGATATCCATTGACCGGTAAGCAATCCCCTTTTTTTCTGTCTCTTTTCTCTTGTTGGTTGAATAATATGCGTCTCTAAGAGCGAATATCGCGAGAGATAGCACGGCCGTATCGGTCTTAAGTCGCGACGGTCAATGTTAGGACAATGCCGCTTAGTACATCTTCTCCTGCTATTGTACGAGGTGTGATGGTATCGTGAACGAGGGATATATATTCGTCAACGCTAATCGCCCCGCCTAAGCACGAGATCATCGCCGTGATCCTTAGATACATCAAACGATCAATAATCCCGAAGACAGTGGCTCCCGCGCGAGCTCTATCTTTCCTCCCCTCGCTTCGTACATTTGACGTGTGAACTGACTCGTGCTGAAACCTCCACTTGGATCGATGTCCGGTCCTAGGAAAACACATTTCCTCCTGTTTATCTAGAGAAGTCCCGACCTGCGTTGAAGTGACGTGGGTGCGTCGTATATGACGCCGCGTTAAGGAGGATTAACGGCGAAAGGGAAGAGGGTTTCGGGATAACGACGGAGATCAATCTGACGTCGAAAGTCGGTCAAGAAAAACGAGAAAGACAAACATTATCGCTCTAGCGTCACCTGTCCCACGATTAGAACGTGGTGGAACTTCGTAGCCACCAAGATCCAATTACGTAGTATTCGACAAATCTCAACTTCTTTATTTATGACTCGATCGAATCGTCGCACCTACAGCGATATCTCTTTTAAGTGTACGCAAACGCGCGTATTGGAAAAATTTTAAATAGTCCTAAATCTGTTGCCGCTGTTGCTATGCGAGTTATCACATCGTGATTTGAAGAAATATTTAATATCTCTTTCCCCTTAACAATACGTATAACAATGTATTAACGGTTGCTCTATTAACGGATTGTTCGATAAGGGAAACGCAAACGGCAAAATAGACGAGTAGAACAGAGGTGAATTTTTTTTTTTTACAGAAATATCAGAGAAGTGCAATTCAATCTGCGAGTTTGAAAATGCCGGGTTAATTTTGCAAAGCGACTTTCCTCTTGAATGAGCGCCATTCAGAATTATACTCTCAACGGAATACATAATTTACCGTTCTTTTTATTAGCACCGTGGGTGATTACTCTTTTCTTTTCTTAATCCGACTGGACGATCCCTCAATCAGATTAGAAAAAAAAAAAGAAATTAATTCTATCGATTGGAGGGAGAGGCACCATTCATTTAAGATAATCGATTAAATCGATACAAGCTCAGTCGTTGAAGTTGAAGATACTATCGGAACAAGTGCGATTACGTTTGTAATATTCTGGGAGCGACCATTTAAACTCTCATAAATCTCGATTAAAGACTTTTCAAACCATCTCAAAGCCGATTACTGAGTTCACATCTTGCCTAGCGAAGCGAATGATTGCGTCAAGAAAACGTAACAAAAATCTGAAAGACTAAATGCGGAAAACCGACAGTCAGAACGTTGCTTTCTTCGAGCTGAAAGACCGTATGCTAGTTTCTTTTCAATTGTGCTCGAGAAGAAAGACCATTATTCGAAAGCAGTATCCAGAACTACGAAAAGAGCGGATTGAAGGACCATCCTCCTCCTCCTCCTCTGAGAGAGAGAGAGAGAGAGAGAGAGAGAGAGATATCCAATGATTTTTTTATACATCTCCAAAAGTCACTCTAAAATGACGATGTATTTCCTGAAAATTTAGACATTTCGAAGCGAAATTGCCGATAAAAAGAAGCGATAAAAATTTCGATCACGCGACGTCGCCGACAGATGTGACGTGATATCGGAAGCTGCTCAGATCGTAAATTCTGAAATTCATTTTTATGCCGGGGGTAGAAGGCAGGGGAGAGAGGGGTCGCTCTGGTCGTCCACCGGCGCCGGGGACGATCGCCGATAACCGCGAATGGCGAACATCGCGCGCCAACGGATTTATCGTGGGGAACTAATTTTCGACGATACAACGGAGGATAATGTCAGCGTTGCACATGTGTTGCCCGCGCGACGATGAAATTCCACGGCCGGCATCGACTGCGGAATCCACTTCCAAGTGACGCGTTTCGTCCGCGAGGGAGATGGAGCATTGCACTCGATCGGCCACGACGACATTCCTCGAGAAATGATAATGTTATCACGGACGGGAGAATCTGAGACCTCAACAATACACGTTACGGTACGAGGGAAATAGATAGGGAGAAAGAGAGAGACGGAGAGAGAGGGAGAGGGGGGGGAGAGAGAGAGAGAGAGAGAGAGAGAGAGAGAGAGAGAGAGAGAGAGAGAGAGAGAGAGAGAGAGAGAGAGAGAGAGAGAGAGAGAGAGAGAGAGAGAGAGAGAGAGA